GAGATTAAGTGCAAATATTTTTGGCCACTATGTTATTAGCATCAAAGAATGGATGAAATCGGTCTAGTTTTTGTTTTATGATTTTCAATCCACTAGTTGACGTAGCTACGGGTTAACGGGTCATGTAATTAAATCTAGATAAGAATGTTACAATTTGCAGAATGTCCTTTAATGTTAAACTTATATCAAATCTGTTTAATTTTTTAGTATATGCCGCTCGTACCTAAAAAATTGCTTACTACATTTTTGAATATATAATCTAGTATGTTAATATATTGTAATACTCGTATGGTTCTCAGTGCAGCTACAGCACCCTACTCTAAAAAGTAAACTTTTATGCTAAATACTTTCCTTCAAACTCCCTATTGATTTTCGTGTTGTCATCGTTGTTTCTTTAGTTATATTTAGATAACAGTAAATAAAAGCGACGCAATAAAATGCCTTTCTATAGTTATGTCTAAAACCACAAATTAATCGAAAGCAACCACAAACACATATTGTGTATTAGCTTTTGCCTCAAATTTTCCGATTGTCTCATATACGTATATCGATATTAGAGGTAACATGCCCCTTAATATATATAATAAACATATATTATGTATACATATTCAATATATACAAGTATTCTATTCACATCCGCATTACTTAGGTCTGCCGCTACCTCAACCGCAAAATAATTTCCAATAAATTGACGATTGACATAAACAAACGTTCACGCATATATTGTAGTATATAATATAACAATATAAGTATTAGGGCTGTTCATATGAGGAGACATTTCCAATCATATAATACATCAAATACTTAACCATAGTAGCATAAAATATTATATTTGTTTAATGTATCCAATACCATAAATTTATAATGTGCTACGCGAATGGTTATCCGATCTCATAAAAGTATCTAAAGGTAATACTGACTGACGGTATTAATTAAATTTAATCAATGTATCGGGTATATGGGTCACGAGTAAGTTATAACCTAATTTAATTTATTGATTTCGCTTTTACACAAGTATATTACTGATATGACTGATTTATATTCAGAATTGAAACCGATAAAAAAATGCAGTAGTTGTTATGAATTCAGAGACTATTGGTTTGACGTTCGAAACAGAAGTTGTATCGGTTTTGGGTGTCACGGAAACCAATTTTATCGGTTTTGTTATCAGAAACAAACCGTTATCAGAAACAAAACAAAAAGATATTCGCTGACAGATTTGAAATGAATGTTAAGAAAATTATATTATTGTTACGATTTAATTTGTTGTTATTTCTATAGGGGAAACATTAGAATAAAACCCAAATTCCATAATTATTGAGTTTATGGAAAAAAAAACAGATATTTTAAAAATTTAATTTACAAAACGTTATAAACGTAATACTTGTATAACACCAAAATGCGTCTTTATTCAGTCGATAATGTGATATACTTAAATCTGTAAAGTAGTAAAGTACGTACAAGCATACAAGTAAGTACCAAATATCACATGCGACTCCCCTGGTACATCAAGTAATGGCTTTTAATTCTTTAAAAATTTCATTGCTTTTTTCTTCCAATAAAATAAAAGATAAAATAGCGGAAGAATTAAGAGGATTTTTTGGGATCTTGTAGATTGCGTTAATCAACATTTGGGAACAAATTTCTAAATTTATTAATACTCTCCAGACAGAAGTAGATTAATATATTGGGGTTACAATTAACGACCTACTGCATAATACAAGAGCTCAAGTGAAATGGTTAAATTTTATAAATTTTTGACAAAAAATATGTCCATCCAAGACTTCCTAGGTATAATAAACCACAGACTTTATTACGTTATCGTAATTTTAGTGGGAGTCTTCACGGCCAGAGTGACGGACGAACGAACAGCCCGACATCCGGCATTTTTGTAAACATAACTGTTTATTATGAGTAGGAGGTACCAACAACAGTTTCTGTGCAACAGGTTGCATGTAACTGTTTAACACTTCTGCATTTGCATTCGCGGAATTCTATCATTTTGTAAACAACTCCTCAGACAGATTTTATCATTTCATATGCCAATAAGATAACATTATTATTTCATCACGTTTATAAGGTATAAGGTATTTGCTCCGTTACCTGACTACCCTTATCATATGTACAGTTAATGCAGTTGCGGAAGTACGTGTTTTTGAGAGAGTGTTATTTTATTATATAAGAGATGCCTCTCTTTAAACTCAGCTAGTTTTATAGTTTACGCTTATGTTTGCTATCACTTTAATATGAATGGAAACTAGAATGTGAGACAAAAGCTCTAAAGGTCATAAAAACCCACATTATTGTGTAAAGAATATGGAACGTGTTACTCATACCTGTATACGTGTATTATCTATAGCTAATAATGAGTTATAAAATATTTTTCATAAATTTATGGGAAATCACGTGTTGCCATCGACAGAATGTTCGACTTTTTTGGGAATTCGTTTTTTTTCGATTAGGTGGAATTTCCTAACATAGTTCAAGTATGTTATGAGAAATAATCAAATTGAAATGACATTGGATTTGTTTTTAACTTCATCGGTTAAATAATTAATATACACAATAGGTTAGAAAGGGCTAAGTTACGGTGTAACCGATCATTTACGAAGCTCAAAGCCAGGAAAGTACGTTCCGCACCACATTATGGTTAACAAATCCACTTCAATTCATTAAAATATCACCCAATTCGACCAACATAAACAGTTAAAGATCAGATGGATGGAAATCATTACATTCCGTATATTGCATTGCATTAACTTTTGTCGTTGCTCATGTATACTCGAGAGCATGTTTCCAAGGAATTGTATGAAGATAACTCATACAGTGATCGACAAATTCGGTATAAAGTCTGCTACAAAACGAAAATCATGAGAAACGTAGTATACCGGAGTTGGTGTAATTCGCTGACTTTTACACATTGTCGACATTAAACTGCAATATATCTAGTATTCGAAGAATATGAAAAAAAGAACGAATTTGCTTTACATCCCTCTAGTGGCTTGTGAGACATGTACATTAAACCGATTAGAGGGCGGAACCACACCTACTTTAAAAAAATTTGAATCAACATTTGCCTCTCCCTATAATAACACCTATTTGAACTGATTTCCATGTATTTTTGTTCATGTTTCATCTCGTTTTGATCTTTTCCGTCTCTAAAAATTTCTTTAACCCAAATTAATTTATTTTAGTCATAATTGTTTTTATACTAAAGTATTTTAGATCCAATTTCACATGTTTACGTATCTTTGGTCGGTCAAAACTTATTGGTGTCTTAAATGATAAAATTTATATTGCATTCCTTATGATCTATGCTTCAATGCTAATCGAAGCGTCGAAGAGCACCGTTACTTGTATTTGACATTGAAATCCGATTTCACCATTCTCTTCAATTATTAATAGAATTGGTAAATACGCTGAAACCTTTTTTTGTTTTATGAAGTTTCTAAACTGTTTCTTACTTATTTGACGACGCTGATTTTTTTCTCGCCGCTCTAGTTTTAGTGATACAGGTACTTCTTGAAATATCATTACTTGGTTTATTTGAATTAATTTTTAAGGCAAAAAATTACTAAATTTCATAAACCAACCGCTATGTCTACATTAAGAACAACTTGTTTAAATGATCCGAATATTTTTGTGCTGTTTGTGGTGACTATATGTTTAGAGAATGCCGTATATATGTGTCTGATTCTTTGAAAAAGGCCTATTTGGTATTGAGATATAAAAATGAATAGAACATAACTGGCTGATATGCGTTGATTTTAAAATGGCAAATTTTTTTTTGGGTTAACAAGGAGGATATACCAAACACCAAAGCAGAACTAAAAGTTTTTGGCCTTTGCGAATGCATCCAGTAACGAGTAGTATGAATGTGATGAATGTCCCTCTAGTAGCCACAGACCGTATTATATTACTCCCACTTCATATAAAGGTAGGTCTGATAAAACAGCTTGTAAAAGCTCTAAGCAAGAATGGGTAATGTTTTGCACTATGTAAGAGCTATATCAAGGTCGTTGGAATACAAATATGATGGTTGATTACTGCTGAAGCATTCAAAACAAGACTGATGTTTCTAATTGTGAAAGAAAAAAAATTTTTTTCATGTTATGTAAGAACAATATATTTTTTAATTCTAAAATTGTAGTCTGTTTAACTAAAAAAGTGATATGTGCATATTTCGACAACTAGAGGAGCTATTGAAAAACTGACTACAGATTGGGAATCAGCGTTTCAAAATCATACAACATCGGGTAAGAAACTTCAAAAAGCAAAACTACTGTTTCACAGTGTAATTTGGTTTAATTAATCGTCAAGATATATATTAGATCTTCCTCTATGACTCTAGCAGCTGAATGAGACTGTACAAAAATTGAAGCATTTTGAATATAGTATATATGTAGGTATGTACGAATTTTATATACATGAATAGGGTTTGCGTTATCATTTATAATTTTTGCGAACGCGTAATGTAATATTTATATCAGTCAGTCGAGTAAACATGAGCTTCTATTGTAAGCTATTTATGGGCTGTGAGTCTATTTGCTCCGACAAAATCATGTAGTTTGCATTTAGGCACCGACACTGATATTCAAGATAATTGTGGGTATGTGTACAAAATTTTGATTAATACTTATCGAACGTTTACACGTGATTCGATAGCTAATATATATATATATACATATACTTCCGTATATGTCATTTTTAATTTATTAATCGACTCAACTTGTGTGCTTGTATTGAAAAGCTGCAGTGACTTCATATTCTTTTTGAAATCGGAGTTCGTTGCTGGTTGGAAGTAGTGCTTTGTTCATCGTGACAGTAATTTATTTAAGCAATAAATACATATTGGAGACATAAAATGTGGAGGAAGCGCAAACAAAATCAAACTTTTGAAAGCGCTGATAACATAAAAAGTCTTTGATTTGGCAAAAGCTTCCACTCAGCCGCAATACAAAAGCCGTATTTTTATGATATTCTTTTCTATTCGTTTACAGAAGCTTTCAAGCAAAACTTGCTGTCTCAACAACAGTTGATAGAGAAACGTCCAGATGCCTGCACTGAGTAACGGCAAAAACATGGACATTTTTATCCGCGAGGAGGATGTGTCGGTGGCACAGGTGGGCATTTATGCATCCATATCCTTTCTGGTGGTGACTGTTGTCGGTGCATTGTTCTATGTTTCGTGTTCGAAAAAATATCGACTTAATTGGTTTGAGAAAAATCTACTGGAATCGGCTGCGGAGACACAGGATACCGAACAGTGGTGAGTTTGCTTACACTGAAAAACTTTAACGACACTGCTGAAATATAATTTACTCCTTCATTCAACAGCACCGATCCGCTCGTTGCTGGCGCTGCAGCTTTTAATGCGGACAACATCAGCGAATGTTCGCGTTCTCGTTCGGTCTGCAAAGGTAATATAAGCCCCACATCAATTAACACTGATGATCCCACCTTTTGGGTGCCACCACCACGCAAGACTGTACAACAACAGGTTTCAACATCTGCTGAGGAGTCCCCACCACCAACACCCACCTCACCAACGGGTAGTCTGAAATCAAACACCCTCTCGATGTCTTCGACCAGTTCCGTGCCAATAACACGTTCGGATAAGCACGTCATCTTGGGCATGAATCCCAGCAGGCCAAAGGTAGCGTCGATGAGCGCGAAATTGGACCATACAAAAATCGACATGTCTCTCTATAGAAATGTAAGGCAACTCTGTTGACTTACTGGTTATAAAGATATAGTTCTCAACATTCTGACTTCTTTTAGAACTCTCAACAGAAGGGTTCCCCGCAAGGCAGCGATGATATTCGTGGTAATATTCATTTAAGTGTGGTTTATGACACAATAGCCGGCATGCTCTCCGTACATCTAATAGAGGTAAGCAGTTTAATAATAATATTAATTCATGCATTTTTATATGAATGTGTATATACGTTTGTAAGTAAATAACTTTGACTACAACATTTTTTCCTTCCTAGGCACAAAATTTGCAACCGCGTGACTTTAGCCGCACAGCGGACCCATATGCCAAAGTACGTCTGCTTCCCGAAAAGAAGAATTTCTGGCAAACGCGTATACATAAGAAAACTCTCAACCCTAGTAAGTTACTTTGAGTTCAAGCTCATTGAAATTCATTCGGTGTCGCTTAAATGAAACTTTATTAATTTTTATAGTTTTCGATGAGGATTTCGTCTTTGAAGAGAATACAAGTGTAATCGATAAGCGTACAATTGAGATTTTGCTTTACGATTTCGACGCGTACTCACGTCACGTCTGTATAGGAGGCGCCCAAATACCGTTAAACAGTTTGGATCTGAACGAGAAAGTTGAGTTGTGGACACCGTTGGGCTCTTGTGCAGAGCAAGTAAGTAGGAAGGTGGTACTAGCTTCCTTATATGGGCAGTTAAGTATTGGCGGTCTGTTGGAACCGTTCATTTAAATTATGATTTTATTGTTTGTATATTTTGTTTTAGGACATGAAGGTCGACTTGGGCGATGTTATGGTTTCCCTTTCATTTTTGCCATCCGCTGAACGTCTGACAGTGGTATTGATCAAAGCCCGCAACCTACGTATAATAGATGATTCCCGAAACTCATCAGACCCATATATTAAAGTGGCGCTAATATTCGATGGTAAAAAAATTAAGAAGCGTAAAACTGGCGTCACACGTAATACCGTTAATCCAGTATATAATGAAGCACTAACATTTGATGTTAACAAGGAGACATTGAAGAATAGTCTTATTGAGTTTACGGTCGTTCACGATGGACTGTTGGGTAGGCTACTCGACTTTTGATATTTATTTAGTGTTCTTTTATCTCAACTTTTTTTTATATAGGTTCCAGCGAAATTCTGGGTCGTGCAGTCATTGGCAACTCTGCAGAAGTGCGCGCTGAAGAACGCATGTTTTTCGAACAAATGTTTCGTTCCAAAAATTCACTCGCTCAATGGGTTCCACTGCAGGAGACTAGCAATCCACGCGCTAATTTAGCCAACCTACCAACCAATGTGAACTAAACATTAAATAAAAGCGAAATTTGCAGGTCGAACAGAGAGTTAACATAGCGCTGTTATTGCAGAACAGAGAATGTTGATGTAAATATTTTCTACTATGGAAAGTTGGAAACTCCTTTTCTTTAGCGGATTCATAAAATTAATTACACTAATATTCTCAGCTGTTATTAGTCCGTAGATAATTAGTTTATTAATTCAACTATTCATGTGAGCCGCTTTGCACATTATTATGTTTTTGAAAATTACTAAAATTGCTGCGTTTGTGTTTAATTTTATAAATGCAAGTTTTGTATGCAGCTAAGGCAGCTTATATGTATTCATATGTGTACCTATAAAGTATATACAAGTATATAAGATATTTGTATATATAAATTCTTTTTTATAATATTTTGGTAGATGTTTTTATGTTTATTTTTTATCTAACTACTACATGATCTGAAAGGTCTTTGACTTGATCGGGGGTTCGCTTTATCCTTGCCTTAGAGTACTTACTAACCTTAAATTGAGTAACGCCAGAGCTTCGTAACGTTTCATTTAATCGCTCTCAAGTTATTGCTCCTAAAGTCTCTTCCTCCCTCTGCTGGTGAGTTTCGTGTTTAGATAAAACATCGTTTCCGGATGGTACAAATATCGGTTTTTTACCGTATGCAAAGCAATGTCATGATAAGTGTTACGGTAAATGTGTCCTAGCCTATTCTAGCTGAATTTCGCTAAGAAATAATACACCTTATTCAGGAAGTACAGAAAGTTAAAAATACTATTTGCTCTTTCCGAGGCTCGCTAGAAAGAGATTTCATTCAACTGAGAAGGTCAAGATGGAAACAAACCAAATGGAGATTATGTCGTAGAAAATAGGTATATTTTCATTCAAAGCCACGTTCTATCAATGTTAAGCCCAAGACATTTCAGCTCATGTATTATTTATCTGTTTTAGTAAGTCCTTATACACTTATATAGTTTACAAGATAGTTTAGTGGATTTTACGTATATTTTGAAATATTTTATTAAGATTTATATCGGTAAAATATTTTATACTAATAATGTCTAATTTTTTCTCGGTATTTAAAGGTTTTTTTTCAACAAATATTTGAGAAAATTTTTTCTTGTGTTAAGTAACAATATATACATTTTTTAGAGGTGGTAAAGCGAAAAATCCATTTGAGCCATTATACTATATATGTGTGTATGTATGTATATACTTATATATCGTAATTGATGACACGGATCGCAGGGAAATGAAAAACTGAATTAGCTTAGTTTCGATAAGTATTAATGTTATACAATATTGTATAAGCTTAAGCAATTTGTTCAGCGTGCTACTACATGTGCTTTCAACACTTAATAGCGAAGGAGTAGTTATGTTATATAATGAGCATTCTGGTGAACTACCAAGCAGCAAGCTGTTAATTGTGTGCAATTCTGCAAGATTCTATGTCAAAAAGTACCTAAAGTTGTATATTCTTAGATAAATACAAAAATTCAGACTTTATATATATTATATATGGTATGTATTTTTTTTGTCATTAAATGTTTAAATATCAACAGTTGAACTTATGTATTTATGTAATTGAACAAAGCTTACTTAGATAACCATTAATGAACGTATAACAAATTTGGATTAACTTTCGCACCAAATGTATTTTTTAAGGAAAAGAGTCATAGGTATATATATTTACTGAAATATATTTAGCAGTTTATAAATCTATGTGGATTTGCTGGTAAGAATTGCAGGCAAATGTTTTGTAATAATAATAATTTTCTAATTAATTTGTGTTGCATATAGTTGTTATTAAAGTAATCGTATGTATACAAAATAAAAACCGAACAAAAAGTCTGGACTTTTAATTAATAATGACATCGTGGATTTGAAAGCAAAATGAGCTGCCCTATAAACAAAGCACAACCCACAGAGCTTTGAAGAGTACTAAACATAATAGTTTTCTTAAATGTCTCTCTGTAAGACGCTAAACTTCGGCGGTCAAGCCCACATTGTGGAGTTTGAACTATAGCTGAAAGTTGTTTGTAACACATGGTTCGCTTATGAAATTCAATTGCATTTGAGTTGAACTCTTCTTAGTTACTCGCGTTTTGTTTTCCTTCACTCTCGCTGTTCTACGCAGGTTTTAAAAAGTTAGGTTTTCAACTTTCACACCTATTTTGGGTGTTCTACGTGTCTCTCACTCTCTCGCTCACTCAATTATCAATTACCAAATACTTATAAATTGAATTTCAGCTATCTGTGGTCTCAAGAACGGGTTGGTGCAGATAAAAGTCATTTGTTATTGCTGGCTGCACGAGCGCCAGGTGACAATTGAAAAATACGCAAAGGACGACACATTTGCGGCACTTGCGCCCGTCATTCAATTTAAGCTTGGAGGATGCCTTGGCGTTAGAGACTTTGTTGGATAGCGATGATGCTCCATCAAAGAACACACATGCACCTCGCATGCGATAATGGGAGTGCACTCTCGTCATGCACGCAGCACACGTTCTATGGTTGCCGGAATGGATGCAATAACTTCAACAACAACATCGCTGACTTTGTAGCTATTTTTTAAGCTTCCTCTTGATGACGATTTGCTCCGTAAGTGCGTGCACTTTTCGTGATTCATTCGGCGTACGCGCGAACGGGAACGCGTGCGACAAAGTAAAAGTGCAATAACAAAAGTCAACTCTCGCCTGGATAGTTGACCGCAATGGCATTTGATGCGGCAGTTAGTGGTAGTAGATGGCAGTCAATTGATAGTTTTGGGAAATTGAAATATACTACAGATAAATATACAAGTACATACATATGATAAGTGGTCTTAGGAAAAATGTTTGGCTAGTTTGAAAAGTTTTGCTATTGACGTTGGTGAAATAATACACAAAAGAAGTGGTAGTCAAAATTCTTATGTATTGTAGTATTAAAATTATTTGTAAGATATGTTCTTTCCACCTATTAAAGAGCGGTGCTAGGCACACATATCATATCATATTTAAAATATATATTTATGTCTAGCATATATATTTGCTAAGCGTGAAATTTGTATGTATATCAAAAAAGAAAGGGCTAAGTTCGAATGGAACCCAACATTTTATACTCTTGCAACTTGCAAGAAACAAAGCCCGGAAAGTTTCTTCAAGTACTGGCAAACTTTATATAAAAAATTGTTGCGAAAGAATTAATCATCCATTAATCCATGAAATGGAGAATAAATTACAATCAAATTTGGTATAATCTTGACTTATACTGAAGGCCATATATTAGACTAAGTTTTATTGCTATGTTTTAGTTCGCGTCAGCTAAGATTGTATTAAAAACACCTTCAAATGAGATATACATATGTACGAAATATTAACTAGACCGAAAAGGCTAATTTTAGTATTTATTGAGTTGAGGTGGAAAAGTCAGTCAGGGGATCGGAATCCTTATATTAGGGATATTAGGCTTAGACCAAGGAATTTAGAAATTGAAGAAAACTTGTCCATTAAATTTAATTAAATTATCACATTTTGACCAACCTGAACGGTTTAAAGTCAGGTGGAAATTCGGAAGTCATTATATGAGGTATATTGGGGACATTGAACGACATACTTGGTATAAAACTTGTTAAAAGAAATAAAAATCATTCAATGCAGTGTATGCGAATTGGGGGTAGTATTGACCCGATTTTTCCTATTTTTGCCAATACTTCACATAGCATTTTAGACACAAAGATACAAAGGCACAAGAAAAACACGCTCTCTCATTTATATTGGGAAGTATTTACCCGATTCAACCCATTTTGACGTATATCTCACACATTCACCGATATTTTCATTAAGAAGTCAACCATAGGTACTAGGGTTCACATATTCGGTATCTAAGGGCTTGAACTGTTTTGGTTCATTAGGTGGTGTACTTTAAAGGTACTTTTCGTGCAAAGTTTTATCACGTTATATTATATTAATTGGTTCTTTTTGCACTGCAACAAGCAAATATTATAAAAATGTTACGTACCGAATTTGGTTGAAATCGATAAAGTAGATCCCCAGATCTAGGTTTTCACCTAAAGGTGGGCGGTGCCAAGCCCATTGTTCAATTTTTGTTTTGGCACCGGCAAGTTTAATTGTACCATCCTATGTGTAAAATATAAAGCCTTTGACTTTTTATTTAATGAGTTATCGCAATTTTAGTAGTTTTGATCAAAACCGTTATATGGGGGGCAGTGGGCGTGGTTATTACCCGATTTCATCCATTTTTACATTGTCGGTAGGGGTAATAAAAGGATTTGTTTTGAGTGAATTTGATTATTATGACCTTAAATGTTTAGTAGATATGCGCAATAAGGACCACGCCCACTTTATAAAAAAGTTTCTAACTGAAGATGCCCCTTCTTTATACGATTCGTTGTACCAAATAAAAGTCTTGTATCTTATTGGGGAGCTTAGTTATGGCAATTTATTTGTTTTTGATTAATGGCGTTTTGTGTGCGTGGCAGTAGTCCGATTATGCCCATCTGTAATACCAACCGTCTTACGGTGCCATGATACATGTGTACCAAGTTTCATAAATATACCTAAATTTTTACTCAAGTTATAGCTTGCAGAGACGGACGTACGGACAGACAGTTACCTGGAATTTAACTCATCTCATCATCCTGATCATTGACCTGTAGCAATATGTTGCAAAAGTATAAAAACGTATATACCATAAACCTTTAATCATACCTATACAAATCTGACTTGTCGTCCGATCACCCTTAATAAAAGGTCGTGAAATTTCTACTAAAATTACACATTCATGAGCGTGTCATGGACATGTTTTTATGATAGGACTCAAAATTATCAGGAGCTGTAACAACATAAAAATCTATTGAAACCGTCATTGATCAAAAATAAGCTGTGAACTATCCTATGGAGTTCCCAAATTCACTTCAGCCAGCAGGAATGACGCATCATCAATTATTTTTGAAAGTGGGAGCATAATAAATTGAAAACCAAACAACAACTACATAAAGGTCGATCAATATGACTACCCCTTCCGGCCACGCCAATTTTTATGCAAGAAATTATAATTAAAATAACTTTTTTTTATACACGGAGTAAGTGCCGCGTATGCAGCAGGCCGCATCATACACTGCTTTATCGCACCTCGAGACGCGATGTCGGTGGGCTTCGGCAGAAAACCATAACAAACAACTCGTGCGGTACGACACCGACGACCAGCAGCCTCTCCTAAGTACCAACTATCGAGCTAGCGGAGCGGATTATTGATGCGGCGCCGGCAGCTTAGGCCACAAATATCGCCGCTTGCAACTTAAAAAAATTATTTATTTTTATTCAATTCTACAATTGGTTAGGAATATTGTCTAAAAATGTCAGGCCGATCCAAGCCAAATCTCCAGATATATTGGCGTTTACGGTCGACTCCACTCGACTTTCAGAAACTTTAAACGCATTTTTCTACAATATAATACTTATGTTGTAGCTTTAAAAAAAAATCCAGAATAATGATCTTATTTTAAGTTACAAGACCCAAGTAACCGCTTTAGCCAAATAGACATCGACAGAAATTCCGTTGCTGTAATTATTACCATTTTTGTCTCTTATCTGTCCCTTAGCAACACAACATTGTAAAATCAATAGTGTCTAAGATATTTTGAAATGATACGACGTTAGTGTATAAAGGGCCTTTAAAAGGAGAAGAAATTTATATAAGAGAGTTTGCGTAGACAATTAGCTGTCTTTAACTCCCGCAGGAATTTCTCAGAAAAAAATTTCAAATATTTCATGGAGAAGGATTGATTAGTTCTATGCGGTCCAGATTCGATCCGTGATTTGGTTGATGAATCCTTCTTTCACTAGTACTGTACTCATTTGTATTTTCGCTTTGTTAGTGGGTTCAAACAATTCTGTCACAAGCAATCACAAAATTGTCTGGGATGCTTTTTCTTTATAAAAATTGATTATTCTAACACCATTTAGCGTAACCGAATCGCAACTATACGGCGAACACAGCAAGGACTTCCGGGCTTAGCGTCAAGTCGATTGGCCAACATGAATATGGCGGCTAAAGAAGTGAATAGCCCTCTCGGCAGATTAAGTTAAGACATCAAAGACTAAAGTGTAATTATCTATTTGTGTCACGTGCAATTTATAAGAGTTGAGAAAACAAGCCTCGTTATTGAAGATGGTGTGAAAATTGCGTTGGAGCAAAGCAGACAGTACTAGTCTAAATCTACGAAAGGCACATGCATTACATGCCTTATTGTAGTCAGGGTAAAACATATGTATGAGCCAACTTAAAGTGTAGTCCGATTCTATGGTGAGTTAATAGAATCTACGAATGAAATTCATGGAAAAATAAATCAAAATATTTGAAAAAATTTCTTGTGGTTCGAATCTTTGCCAAGGTAAAAGTCGTTTCAATGTTACATTACATTAGATAAGCAAGCTTTATCCCTAGCACCTCCGATTATAAATGTGTTCACAACCCCGGAAAACTTTAGAGGGTCACAATGGACTTGTAAAATGTGGTGTTCCTTATAAAATGTGGTCAGATAAAAGTGTTAAACGTTATTTAAACATATTTGCTATACTTTTAAATCAGCTTAAAATTATATGAACTTAATTAAGTGAAAAAGTGAAAATTTAAGGCGATTTAAATTGACATTGAGACTTCATCATGGTAAATAAATTATTATACTGACTGAGGTAAGGTAAACATGAAATAAACAGATTTGATCAATTACTGCAATTAACCTCGGTTTTTTCACCAAATTATTTGTAATATTTCCGCATGATGCTGGCAATGTTTCATGTACATTTTTAATTGCGAGTTGTTAATTTAATGGCATTTACATGTGG